GAATGCATGTGATTTTTGCACATTGATTTTGTATCCTGAGACTTTGCTGAACTTGCTTATCAGTTTCAGGAGGTTTGGGGCTGAGACGATGGGGTCTTCTAGATATACAGTCATGTCGTCTCTATTTGCAGACGACATGATTGTATATCTTTCTGTTAAATTTTTTATGGCTTTACTTAAGATTGATTTCTTAATTTAAAATCTTAAGAATAACAAATCCTAATTAAATAATCATTGATTTCCACGCATCCAAAAAGCTTTTCTAGATAACCCCTTTTCCCACAATAATTTAGAACTGGGCCTTCTGCCTACCCCACTCCATATACTGTGCACACACTTCTTCTAAAAATCCTCAGTGCTCTTACTTGGATGCAGATATTCCTTCCCCTATTGGAGTTAAGTGTTATGACAAGCATCATTGTCATTGAATGCAGGGTCCACTCCTTGAGTTTTGATTATATTGACTTAATGTGATTAGGAGCCTTTCTCACAAATATTCTTGTAAGTTATGCTTTAACTGTTACCTATGAACTTAATCAGGCAATCAATCAATCAATCAAGTTGTTACCAGATTTCTGATTCTTAGCTCCTGGAAAGTATCAATAGAAGCTGTCACAATATGGGGCATTATACATGAACCATTTAGGCAAAACAACTGAGAAGAAATTTTGGAAAATAAAAAATTATCTATAATTCTATTTTAAGAGACATAACACAGCCTATTATAAAGTTTACACTTTATAATTAAGTATAAATAAATATTTGGAATTTAGAAAGCATCACTATGATTGCATCATTTAAAAATATGAATATATTTTAGAGAAGGAGCATTGTTATACAAGAATCCTAACATTCTAACAATATAGTTTGCATTGTCAATACTCTAGAATACTGCTTTTTACAGCTGTATTGGTCTATGAAAAACACAAATAAACTGAAAAAATCTTAGAGGAAAATCACTAATATGATTAGAAAGATAAGTTGTAAATGAGTGAGGTTTTGAATACTAGAAAAACAGAAAGAGATGGTTTACTATTAGGTTATTACAAGTGACCCCCAAGTTATAACACAATTAGATTTTTGTTGACTAAAAATTAAATGATTTTTTTTAAACCGAAGATTTCTCCTTTCCTGGATAATCACTTTCTCTTTATTGCTTCAAGAATCTTTGTATCTTTATACTATCATAATATGGCTGTTTCAAAGTGTACCAATACTTCTGATCCTATGGGATAATTTATGTGGAAAATACTGGAAAATGACATGACATTTTGAGAAACTGAATGAAATTATCACATGTGGAGGGAAGGCAGAGAAAGAGGTAGTGAGTTGTATGAGATGATATTGGAGATGTAGGCAGTGGCTGAATTCTGTATTGTTTCTAGGCCAAACTGAAGATTTTGGCTTTTACCTAAGACCAACAAGGACTCATTTAGGGATCCAGAGTAGAGGAACAATACGATCAGATCTGTCGGTTAAAAAAGAATATGATATTGAAGACAGGAAGATCAAGAGTAGACCAGTTAGGAGTAAAAGTGAGAAATTATGGCAGTTTGGTTGTGGTGAGGGCCAGTGGAGATGGAAAAAAGGGGCAGGTTTGAGAAATGTTCAGGAAAATTGAGGACTAGGTGGTAGATTAGTACTGTTGGGTGATAGGAGAGGTGGAGTCAAGGTTAAGCCCCAGCTTTCTAGATTGTTACAAAGTTGCCAAGATGGGGAACTCTGAAGGGGAGATCAAATACTTGATTTTGGACATGTTGAGCTTGAGATGTCATTGACACATCCAAGAGGAGAAGTCAAGCAGGTGGTCAAATATGCATGGCACAGCAAAGATAAATTTTGTTTGGAGGCATTTTACAGCTGTAGGTATTTGGATGTTTATTGAAGCCATGGATGGAATGAGATTGCTTCAAGAAAGAACAGAGAGTGAACAAAAAAGAGGCCGAGGGCCTAGGTTTAAGGAATTTCAATAAGTACTGGTGTGGCGAAGAGAGCGAATTGTCCAAGGAAATAGAGAAGATACACCCAGAATGGATAGCAGAACAATTAGAGGAGCTGGAGTCATGAAAGCCATAGGAAGAAGCATTTCAGAAAGCCACGATATTGCTTTGCTATGGAGATGTCTGAGAAGCAAGAGGTGGAAATCAGGTGTTTTTATTATTTACCAGTTCACATGACAATCAGGTGGCTGCTGGTTTCTTGTGGTTGCTGTTTCTGTTAGATTTGGTTTCTCGTCTCTAGTGATGTTGCTATTGGGAATGCCATCCTTTCAACTCTTTTGCTGCCTGCTTCATAGTTAGAACAGCAACACATGCCAGGATGCTAACATAAAAAATAATTCATAACTCTGAGCAAGTGGGTAATGCAGTTATAAACTATTGACAAATAACTCTAGATTTATTTAATAAATATATTCAGGTAACCTCCGAAAAACATAAAGATGACTTAAAATAGTTCAGTCAGTCTGGGTATGTTAATTCTTCCTACGTTTAATGTTCTTTCTTTTTCTTGCATTTCTAGGAAGTTTATATTCTTTTTATTGATTTCAAGTTCATCACTTAGGCAGTTCAGGAAGGTTATCGTGTTTTTACTTTTAATTCAGACTTTAACTGCATTGTAACAGAAAGACCATAAGACCTAAACAATCTGGGTTTTTATCTCACCTTTGTTCTTAATTAATCACAGACTCTTAGGCTCTTAGAGAAGTTTTCCTTGTACTGAGTTTGAGGTGCCAGCTGATCCCAGTGGAAATGCCAAACACATGACTATGTCAAGCCTTCAATAGCAGAGAGAGCTTTCCCTCATTCAGTCATGGAATTGCACTGGGACTGAGAGGTGGAAGGACAAGTAAGTTCAGCCTCAGCTGCAGAATCTGGGGAAAGTTAACAGCTGACAGATGCCTCTGGCACCTTGGCCACCTGAGCTCCATCAGTGTGGCAAATCATTTAGTCCTGAGAACATCAGGCAGCACCTGTGACTCCTAGCGTCCTTCATTTCTATCACATACTAACTTAAAGTTCCTTTCTACAAGGTAGGAGATCTGGTAAATCAATCCATGCTAAGGTATTATTGGGCAGCCTCATTAGTAACAGTAGCTGCATTTTACCAGGGTCTTCCCAGATTTAAAAAGATAGCTCAAGTGAGTGACTCTAAATGAAGAAATGTTGAGCATCTCTGAAGGGCAGTGGAGGAGAGATTGGTGCTTCTTCTCCCTATCTACCCAATAGTCAATCTCAAATGTATACATAATGTTTGAAATTTTGAATGATTAGAAAAACAATGGAGGATGATCTTTGTCTCATGAGTTAATCTTTATTCTGTGTATATGATTCAATCTTCAATCTATATGTATGATTTTGTTTTATTTAGCAACTTACCAACCACATTCGAGATACCCTACCAAACTTCAGGAACAAACTACAGGGACAGTTGCTTTCCATAGAACATGAAGTAGAAGCCTACAAAAACTTCAAACCAGAAGACCCAACCAGGAAGACCAAAGCACTGCTGCAGTAGGTCACCTTTCCCTTCCTTGGCTCAGCATTTTAAACTAATTTCTTTAGTTTTCTTTTGCCTTAGTCTATTCATCATGTTGTTGCCTAGGTTTAACAAAGGCAGCAAGTAAACTATATGAGGATATCTATATGATACACAATAACTCTTGAATTTTTATGCTTTCTGGAACAAGAATTATTGATATTATTCTGTTATTGTCAACTAACCAATTGACCATCCCCATGCCCATTTAAATTGTGTTTTTAAGACTGGATTCAGTAAGTGAGTAAAACCATTCACAATGACCCAGTAGGAATTTTTGTCCCTTGTCTTAGAAGTGAGTAAATACAGATGAAAATATCATTTGTTTTTTTCAACTGTTTCTATGGATGTCAATTGTATTTATTATCTTTTATTCCAATTATTTTATGTAACTTCTTTGTGTGCATTTTTTCAGTGGAATGAGAACCAAGGATTTAATTAAAAAGTGCTCACAATAAGGCTGTACTTTTTTTTCTTTTATGTAATAATTTTAATGTAGCCCTTTGAAAATGCAAATGTGAAACTGCCAAGCAGCTTTTCACCCCTTCATGATTTTCCCATGGTTACTAGAGTTATTCCTGAGGTGCCATGGGGTAGGAGAGCAGAGAATTATTAGAGAATTCCTAGGTCTTTATATCTTACACTTTCTTCTCTCCCTTAACTCCTTCTGGCACCATCTGTTTCTTTATCCCGTGCTGCCACCATGTCAAGTCCCTCTCAGCTAGAAGACTCCCCTGCCCAGCATACACTGTAGGACACTTGAGGTCTACCTCCGAAGATGATGTTCTGTACCTCTTACGGCGCCCTTTTCTCCCCTGCAGCCTGGCAATCAAAGCCTGCTTTATTTGGCATTTAAAGTGCATACTATAATTTCCTTCTTTGTGAGGAGATTTCCAAATACTCAAATATTTGAATATAATATTAATTACTTCATCTTATATTTCCTCATTAAATTATTATACAAAGGAAAGAGTTGTTTTTTTTTTCCCCCAGATGTAACTCTTTCCTAATTTATTCTTTCTTTTCATTCTTGGGTTTGGTTGAGCTCTTGTAAAAACTTCAAGTTACAGAGAAATCTATTTCTGTTTAGGCCCTAGGTCATTGTCTTAATATCCAACTAAAACTATTCTACTTGCAAATACTGGGTCTTGCCTCTGTGACTTTATTGGACTCAGATTACAGAACTTTTCACAGCTAGATTCTTGACTTGTAGAGGGCTGATTCAGTTCCTTTTTTATGGTCCTATTCTTTTTGACCTATTTCTTTTATCTCTTCCGTCCTTCCTTCCTGCTTTCCTTTCTCTGTTCTTCCTCCTTCCTCTTATCTCTTCATGCCCTCAGTGTCTGGTTCTGTGAATTCAATGATAAGATTTTTGCCCTCAAGAAGTCCCAGTAGAGTAGGGGAAAACAGACATAAAAATTAACATGATTAATTGTGTTAAACCTAATAAATGCTATGTTTTTGTAAGTGTAAAATATTAAGGAAGCCCCGATCAGAAAGCAGTTACATGTGAGGAAGGATGTGAATTCACAGAGAAAATAGAGGCCCCGAAGTAGGGGAGGACCTTGTCATGTGGAAGGAGGGGGCAAGAGCATCGTGAGAACTTTAGTAGTATTTGTTCTAGAATTAGTAAGTGGGCAAGGTGGCTCAGGCATAGGGTTTAGGGAAAGGAGCAGCTAGAGGTACAATTTCTGAAAAATTTTTCATGTTTCAATATGTATATCACAGCTTACCAGGTTTTTTAAAAAATAAAATTAGCATATACATGAACATAGCTAAATCCAATTATAGTCTAGCTTTTTTGGCCTACATATTTGCAGTTACTTTTAATTTATCCATGATTTTGATGGAAGAGAATAAAAAGATACAAGTTTTAGATAGTTTGAATTTTTTTCCTTTTAGATTTTGAATTTGAAAGTAGTTCCAGTATGTTTAAAATGGAGTTTCTAAACCTGGTAATCACAAATGAAAATAGTTTTTTCCCCCTGTTTCTTCCTTTTTTTTTTTTTTTTTTTAAAGCAGCCAGTGTAAGGTAATTCATTCCTTCATGGAACAAATATTTATTGAATCTCTCAATTATGTTGAGCAGAGAAAGTTAAAGAAAACGCATGGTCCTTGCCCTTAGGATAGTGACTGATAAATGTGGCAATGCCTGTATTGTGCCCAGTGCTCTGCAGGAAATACGCTGAAGACACAGAGGAGGGGCATTGAGGAGTGATGCTGGATAGAGTCATGGATCATGAAAAGTTTTTGGGAAGAATCAATGATTGAGCTGAGTCTTAAAGAACACGTAAAAATTAGGCAAAGCAGCAAGGGACAGAGAGAATGGTGTTTTGAGCAGAAAGAAAAACAAGTGTAAAAGCACAGGGGCATGGTGCATTTGGGGAACTACAGTGGCTTCCTTATGGCTGGCTGGAAGGTGAGTGGGATGAGTGGTGAGAGATGGGGCTGAAGAGGCAGCCAAGGCCAGACCATGAAATATGGGGAGATGGGCTAAAGAGTTTTGATTATATTATCAAATTGTGGGGGATCCATTGAAAAACAAGTCCAGAGCTAGTTGTAGAGGGGTCACAAATCTGTGTTATTATGATAGGGTGAGGTCTGACTTTGACAAAGATAAACCCAAAAGCAGGATGGTCATCTAGAGGAGCCTTCAGTGATGCTGGGAGGCATTGCTGAGAGCTGAACCAAGGCAGTGTCAGCAGGCATGAGGGGGAAAAGCTCAACCAGCTGAGCTGTAATGGAGGAGAAATGACCAAAAAGTGGTGACTCCCTGCAACTGTTGGGTGAGGGAAAGGGAGGTATGCTGGATGCCCCAGATTCCCTGCCTTGGGTGAGTGGTGACATCCATCATGAGGGGAGATTTGGGAATGCAGGAGGATCAGCAAGTTTGGGAGTCAAACAAATTGAGAGGTTGTTTTAGGTGTGTTGAGTTCAAGGCTGCTAAGAGGAAACAAACATCCAGTAGACGGTTGAGCATATGGGCCATTCACTCTCCTGAGAGTTATAAGCTAAAGCAGAAGGTGTGGAGAAACTATTTCTCAATAACCACTGAAGCTATGGCATCCTTGAGATTACCTAGGGATAAGTGTGAGGAGAGACTGAAGCTGTGATATTGGGGAATAGAGCTGGAACTCCTGGGACACGAGGTGGTTGTGATGTGTTAGGAGTTCAGGTCCATTTGACTATTCTACATAAAGTTTAATTGCTAAACTCTCTATTTCGAGTATTCTTTAAATACCATTTTATGACTGCAATCAAATGAACAGAATGCATCGAAAATACATATATTTAAATATTTATTCTAATTAAATGTCTAAAATCTTGATGTGTGTTTTATATAATCACATTGTGAGTGCTAAATAGAGTGTAGTGTTAACTCTGCCAGTAGGTGCCACTAAGAGCACCTGGAAAAGGATTCTAAGGAATAACCAGAGGAAAAGAAAATGAGGAGTTCAAAGGCTTGTAACTTTGACTTGAATCTATTTCTCTTTAACTATTACAGGATGGTTCAGCAATTTGCTGTGGACTTTGAGAAGAGAATTGAAGGGTCAGGGGATCAAGTAGATACCCTGGAACTCTCAGGTGGTGCTAAAATCAATCGTATTTTCCATGAACGCTTTCCTTTTGAGATAGTAAAGGTTTGTGTCAAATGTTATTTTTTCCTTGGTTTCACTTCGTTTCCATATTCTGTTTTACATAACTCTTGATACAATATTGAGTGAGTGGTATAGAACTAACATGGTCCTTTGAACAAAACCTCCATATTCAGGTAATGAAATTCAGGAGAGAAATATTTTCTTACCGATGATTCCGATTTTATTTAATGAAATTTAACTACATTTCAAACAGAAATACTAAGTGGGGTTTCCTATGATGTTTGTTGTCTAATTAATTTAAAAATATTTCTTGAGCATGTACTATGCACCAAATTTCTAGGTGCCAGTGATTAAGACAGAGAAGGTTCTGGCTTGTTTAGTGGGGAAATATAGAAAATTAACAAATAGACAAAATAAGGAAGTTTCAAGGTTTTTTTTGTAACATAATGTAAGAGAGAGGGGCTGTGTGAGCCACTTTTAATGGAATAGTCAGGCAAGTTTTGTCTGAGCAGGAGACATTTAAACTGTGCCCAGAATGGCATGAAGAGGTCAGCTGGGTTAAGATCTGGGGAAAAGGGGTTGTTTAAGGCAGAAGTAGCAACCTCAGGTAAGGCACTGAAGTATGACAGGTGAAGAACAGATGTGGCTGATGAAGGAGAGGGGCATGAAATGAATTCGGAGAGGACGGAAGTGTCCAGTTCACACAAGGCTTTCTAGGTTGAGGTAGAGTCTTTACGCTTAACAATGGGAAGTTACAGGAGGGTTTTAAGCAGTAATGTGACTTGATTTTATTGATGATTTTAGAAGAATAGTATACCTGCTGGATTGTAAAGTACCAAGAGACAACATGAGGAGAACAGTAGGCCAGACCAGGGGTGGATTCATTTTCTGTGGGATCTGAAGCTTCTACAATTTTGCAGGCCCCCTTGAAGAAGAATACAAAATTATAAACACACAGTTAGGCACAAGGTCTTGGAAGAAGCCTGTGCAAGGTTGAAGCACTGAGAAAATTCTTTAGCTTTCCAGTAAAAGTGCCCCAGCAAGAAAGGATAGAGAGAGATGGGTGGCTTTGGCCTTTTAGAGATAAAGTTGCTAGGGCTTTGATTGAAATGGGGGATGGAAGAAAGAGAAGTTTTGAGATGACTCCCAAGGTTTTGGCTTTCACAGCTGAGTCAGTGGTGGTGCCCATCAGATGAGGGAAATGGAGGAAAAACTGTGTTTGTATGGAGAAGTGAATTAGTAGTTCTGTTTTGGACGTGGTACGTGTAAAATGCCCACTAGGCAGTTGAGTAGTTTTAGGGACCATGCTACTTGTCCCATACAAAGAGGCAAGTGCTTATGTCTTGGTGTGGGAGGCAAATGAGTAAATAGATAGTTTCATTAAAATGTGCCAAGTAAAGGGATAAACTTCAGCACAGGGTGCTATGGAAACATAGCTCACAGACATAAATCCCAGCTTAAGTGTGTAAGGGGAGGCAGGCTTCTGAGCTGAGTTTGGAAGAACGAGCAGCTAGTTATGCAGGAAGAGGTAGATTACAGCAGGAGGCGTTCCAGACAGGAGAGGAATGATAAAGGCTCTCAGCTGTGAAGCCATGGGTTGTGGGTAGAAACCTAGAGCAATTTGTCATTCTAGGGCATAAAGTGTGAGGGGGAATGTGGACAGACAATGAAGCTGGAGAGGCCAAATCTCAGAAGTCAGGGATGAACTCAGTGTTCTCTGGCTATCCTTTCGAGGTCTAAGCTCTATGACACTTTGATCATACTTCCAAGTAGATTTATGGTACCTAGGGCTTATGAGAAATATTTGTACAGTAATCTATCCTGAGTTGGCTTGTTAAAATAGTACTATTTTTCTTTTACAAAGAGGCCTTGAATTCAAATTGTTAAAGTGGCCAGGGACAAAAGACAGCCATTGTTAATTTCAGGACATCTGTACTGCTACTGTACATCAAGTTATACCCTCATTTATGCATTCTCCTGTGCCCTCAAATTTAACATATTTAGCAAAAGAATGAAGAATTATACATTTCAAATGAATGGCTAGATTATGTCCAGAAGGCATCCTTATGCACAGCACTCCGTATCTGTAATAGAGTTAAAAATCCACTGCCCCCAAAATCCCAAAAATCCCTAGTATTCTGTGTTGCCTTGAACTTTATATAAACAGATGTTTTGACCATCTGGGTTTAGGTTGTGAAAGACACGAGTATCCATTTATTAATCATGAAGTTAGGTTATTCTCATTCTGTAATGTTCAACAATATTATTCAAAGGAATTAAGTGTCATAACCATAGCTCATTTTGCATCTGCAGATGGAGTTCAATGAGAAAGAATTGCGAAGAGAAATAAGCTATGCAATCAAAAACATACATGGTATCAGGCAAGTGATTCACATTTTTCTTGTCATCTGTTCAAGCTACCAAAAGAAAATTAATGTTTATAAATGGCTAAGAAACTCATCTTTTCATCATTGAATAGGGTAGAATACAGAGGTGGGAGTAAGAAACAGGAAATCCTACTTTGGGGTTTAATGGTAACTTCCTGTATTGCTGTAGTCAGTTTTTTCCAAGTGAAAAAGCAAAAACATTTTCTGTGCTTCCACCCTGTACTCAGCAATATCTGTTCTCCAGAACCTTCAGTTTTCATGAGGGAGGCCAAACATGCTCATAATTAATCATTATTTACACCAAGAAGGGACAGATTAATTTTGACTAGTGTTGTGGAGCAAGATTGGGAAAGATGAATGGAGGTAGTTACTTTTCAAGCTTATCCTTGCCTGTGGAGAAGATGATTTCAACAGGCCAAGGTGTGTTGTGTGTGCGTGTGTGCTTGTGCGTGTTGGGGGCATGTATATGAGGTGGATGTCAGTGTGATGGGACAGGAGAGTTTGGAAGGATGGAATGGAGGTTGTTGAGACTGGAGGATAAAAGAAATGATTTTCCGGTGGAAGGGGTGGTATGACCAAAGGCTCAGAGGTGAGAGGGCACAGCATGTACCCATGGAGCCAGGAGTCATGCACATGCGTGGGACTGGTGTGAGGAATGTTGTCAGGAGAGCAGAGGGGCCTAGCTGCATAGGGTGGGGGTGGGGTGGGGTAAAACTTGTGTCTGAATTTCCCCTTGTTTAAAGTGAGATTATTCTAAATTACCTCTATCTCAGTCTGTTTGGACTACTATAACAAATGACTATAGACTGGGTGGCTTATAAACAACAGAAATTTATTTTTTACAATTCTGGAGTTTGGAAGTTCTAGATTAGAGTATGAGCATGATTGGGTTCTGGTGAGAGCCCTTTTCCGACCTGCACATTGCTGTCTTCTCATTCTGTCCTCGTGTGGCAGAAAGAAAGCTAGTTAGTGCTCGGGCCTCTTCTTATAAGGGCACTAATCCCATTCATGAGGACTCTGCCCTCATGATGTAATTACCTCCCAAAGGCCCCACCTTCTACTGCCATCACTCTGAGGGGTACAGTTTCAACATATGAAGTTTTGGGGGAACACAGAACTATGATAAGAACAAATGATTTTAAAACACATATTTCTTCATGTACAGAAGGCTAAACATAACTTAATGAGCATATGTTGAATTGAAGTATCTTTATTCAAGGAAATAAAACTTAGGTTGCCTAGTATATAGATTGCCTCATATGAATGAGGTGGCCACTGCCTGTTGTCGTTTGTGGCTCAGCCTCTGCCAAAGGGCCAAGTTGAGACTATATTGGGAACAGACCCTGAGAGGGCAAAGCTTGACACTGAGTGTGCATGTGATGGGTGATTTAACAAAGAAGTTATGATGCTTGAGTTATTTATTGTTTTAAAACTTAGATAGTCTGCTCCACAAATCTCAAATAGTTTGGGAAGATATGAGTTTTTAAAGCAAAGAGGGGAAAACATCTATATCAAAATCTATTTTTTTTTCTTTTACCACTGATAGGATTTCTAAGTTCCTCTATTCTATTTCTTCTCCATCAAACCCAGAATACATTTAATGTAGAAACTGTCTTGCTTTTTAGCTGGGCAAATCTGGTATTTGGACATGCTTATCTGATAAATACAGTGGAACCAAATTACATTTTTTGGGTCATACAGTATTTGAACTCAGCCAAATACAGTATTTTTACTTAACTTGTGAAACTCCTTACCATATACAATTGTCAAATAACAACTGCAAAAATCTCAGTAATTCAGAATTGTCAATTTCTGATTTATATGCCTACCAACAGGAGATTGATGGTGGTTATTACAAATTTGCCTGTAAGATGATAAGAAATGCACAATGTCCTGAGTATAAGACATACTCACGGTTTGCTTATTTAGGCCTTTATATACACTTGGTTTGATAATTTTTTTCTACATTTGATTCCATTCGCTATTTGAATAGTAGAAGCCCTCTTTGCCCCTGAAGGGCTTGATGAAGAGACACTTTGTTTTTCTTCATTGTTTTGTTAACACTGAATGCTGACTCTGAGCAACGGAGGGAGACAGTCCTTATGGAGCAAATCAAGATAAATAGGGTAACAGTTCTCCCTACTGTGTAGTGATGGGACTAAAATATGTGCCCAGCTTCCTGCAATGTGAAATAGAATGCTGGGCTTCCAAGAAGGAAGGTCTCAGCAGCAGGACTGGAGAAAGACTGCAACTATAAGTTTGCTTTTCATCTGGGCTTTAAAGCACAGACAGGATTTGAATAGGCCAAAATTGAGAAGAGGGTGAAATGAACATCACAGACAAAGGCAAAGACATGCAATATAAGCAAAGGCAAATTGACTGAAAGAAGATACATGAAAGGTGGGGGGAAAATAACTGTGAAGAAAGATTAGAGTCAGACAGTGGAAAATTTTTCATATTGCACTAAAGAATTTGGATTTGATTTTATACCTAGTTCAGAGAAATTACCATTATAATATAGTATGATTACTACAGTTAAAAATAGAGGTGAGCATGGGGTGCTAAGCAAATGACAAGAAAGGACGTCCAGTCAAGATAGTATAAGGGAAGTATTGAAAAAATTTTCCAAAAGAGGTACCATAGAATTCAGTGTTGAAGGAAGAGAAGTTAACCAAATAAGAAGAGGTGAGGAGGGGAGGGAAGAGGGTCTGGGAGTTGGGAGGATCCAGTGCCAAAGCCTGGAGCCCGCCAGCCTGTAGTCATGGCCAAGGCTCAGAGTTCAAGGGACCCTGTTATTGTAGCTTCTCTCTATTGACCTTTTGTTTAAATTTGAGTAATCATTTTTCCCTTTTTATGAAACACATGTACACACATATATATATATATATATATATATATCTGCTTTCCTGAGCTCCTGCTCTGCACTAGAGAAAAGTGTTGTTATAATACCAGTTTGAATTAATTAGAGCCTAAAGGAAGACACTGTTATTTTAGTTATCATTTGTTATTTTTGTAAATTCATTATTTAGGCATCTTGAAATATTAAAATTAATTCATAGCTCCCCTGACTGTCTTATTCTCCCAGTATTCCAGGATCTCAGATTGGGAACCACCAGGGTCACAGTAACATAGCTTTCCTGGAATGAATAAATTATATAAACCAGAAACTCTACTGTTTTAGTGTATAAAAAGTAAAGCTCACTTGGTGTTCCACAAAGGGCAAGAAATTGCTTTTGGAATCTTTTAGAAATAGGAATCTAAATTGAGAACACCATTTCTATTGTAGCATTTATTTTTATTGCTGTGAAACAATGAGATAAGACAAATTACAGGTAAATATTAGTTAAAGGTCACATGATGTACCATATAAACATTTTGGGCACTTTTTCAGCTAATATTAATCTTCCATAGATTAGAACTTATTATGACTTAGCAGTATTAAAGATATTATTATAATAATGCTGTGGATAGAACAAATCATTATGTAACGTTTAAACTTGGTCTATTACATGCTTAATTTAAAGGAATGTTAAACATTTTTCAAAAGATTTTTGAATATTACTCAATTAAAAACATCTTACGGGTTGCTTGCTTTCTTACCTTCAGGACAGGGTTGTTTACTCCAGACATGGCATTTGAAGCGATAGTCAAGAAACAGATTGTAAAGTTGAAAGGGCCATCCTTGAAGAGTGTAGATCTGGTAATACAGGAATTAATCAACACCGTGAAGAAGTGTACCAAAAAAGTAAGTTTGAATTATTTAACTTTCCAGTATGTGGCTTTGGTTTACCAACATTCCCTATCTCATTGCATGATTCTCTTTCCCTGACCCTCACTTTGTTATAGATGTTGTGTGTTTGCCTACAGGGAAGGATTGTGGAAAGTACTGAGTGGGAACTGCTTCCGTGAAGGCAGACATATTGTCTTCTATCATTCCTAATACGGTGGTTTAGAAAGAGTATATTTCTTTGGCTGGTTTTCCCCTTGTTGTCTTTAACAAATAAACATTATTTCTGAATGATTAGGCAAATGCCCTAAGCTTATTTTCCCTATGGTGCATGGATGAGGGTAATTATTAGAGGAAGGGAATCATTGATAGTATGTATATCAATAAGAAAATTCTTCCAAATTACAAATGTATTCCACTTGAGCCTGAGTGTTCTGGGAAGGGGCAGTGTAGTATAGTGTGGGGGATAAGAATCCAGCCTTGGAGGTTCAATGACCTAGATTCAAATCCTGGCTCTGATACTTATTTTCTATGTGACCTTCAGCTTAACCTCTCCAGTCTTGTTAATTTATCTGTGAAATGAGGATGATGATGATGATAATAGCAATACCACCTTAGTGAGGATCAAGCAAGATGATGTCTGAAACCTATGGGACACCTAACACACTGATTAACGATAGTAAGCGCTCAGTAAATGGTGACTGATCCATAAATTGCCATTTTAGCAGCAGCCAGTATTCTCTACCCTGAATATCTATTGAATCTATGCTGTAAAGTGTTAGTGCAGGACTTCCTAGGCAGGAGGATTCCTCATTGAGGAATATGGAGAACATGTGCTCAGTTCTTTAGTACATGAAAGGAATATCTTGTATTAAAAAACATAAAAAGAAAATTAGTGATGGTGTTTAGAGTAGGGTAGGTCTAGCCCCTTGACAGTTAACATCGGTGCTTTGAATATTTCTTTAATTCAGAATGTAGATAATTCTGTTTTTGTTAGTTTTGTTATCCTTCCCTTTATAGATGGTTACTAGGAGTTACCTTTCTGAAAAACCAGTGGGAAGAAAGCGAAAGAGAGAATGAGAGGGACAGAGAATAAGAATGAATATAAATATTATTTCCCAGTTACCTGACAGAAAGGCTCAGGTAAAGAACAGATGTATGTACTAAAAGAGGCAAGTGAGCTGAATTCCTAGATGTGAAGGCTAAAAGATAAGCAGTAAATGGAACTAGCTTGGGACCCAGAGTTGACTCTAGGAGGTTCAGACCCTTTCTCTAGAGCTCCCACTGCTTATTTCCTAAACTTCTGGTTCCTTTTCTCCAAAATAAGAAGAGCCACAGGAGTTAAAGGACTGAGGGGCAGGAAGAAGAATGCACATGGGGCTGGAAAAAACGATCTTTTTTTTTTTAAGATGGAGTCTTGCTCTGTTTCCCAGGCTGTAGTGCAATGGTGCGATCTCGGCTCACTGCAACCTCTGCCTCCTGGATTCAAGCATTTCTCTCTGCCTTAGCCTCCTGAGTAGCTGGGATTACAGGCGCCCTCCACCACGCCCAGCTAATTTTTGTATTTTTAGTAGAGATGGGGTTTCGCCATGTTGGCCAGGCTGGTCCCGAACTCTTGACTTTTGGTGATCTGCCGACCTTGGCCTCTCAAAGTGCTGGGATTACAGGCGTGAGCCACCATGCCCTGCCTGAAGAAAATCAATCTTTCTACCAGTTCGCCACTTGGAAACTTGAAATCAGTTGCTAACACTTCTCATCCCTGCTACCTCGCCTACTCTTCAAAATGCAACCTATTGTGTCCCTTGTACATGTAAAGCTCTCTTAATCTCTTAAATGACTTTGGAGATTAATTGATACTGAGTTTCCTACTAACCCTAAGGATTGCCACTCTCAGTACACGGATGTAGCGCTTCTCTTTAGGTTGTCCATGTTTCTTTCTTCTGCCAATTAACCTGTCTTATTTACAAGCAACAGTTGTGCTGTATTTGTTCCCAAAACTGTTTAGCCAGTTGCCTGTATTTTAATAACATACTTTAAATAAAGAGAGCAAATTAACTGATCCAATGCAAAAAAGACTCTGAGTTTTGTTTCTGTGAAAACTAAACTGAATGCTTTGAGAAGACTTGACCAATGTTAGCTACAAAAGCTTTGCTATTGACTAGGTGTAGGCAAGATAATGGCAAAAGAATGTGTGTGTGTGTGAGGAGTGGGTTATAAAAATCTGGATAGGTTCTGCATTCAAATTATTACACAAGTGTCTTCAGGTTCTCCCTCCACTGTAAAGAAAGCAAAACTGGAAATTATAGATGAAGGATGTGGTTTATGTAAGACAGAATACGCATAACTCCAATCAGCAGATCCATATGCAAAGAACAGACCTTGGCCTTACATCAAAAGATTGGCACATGTGTGGACATTTATGTTTTAAGTTACATAAAGTGTTTATGGTATGCATGAGTCATTTTTTTTTATCATTTCCCATTTTATCTGACCTACTGGAAAGCCAGCAGTCAGTTCTGATGGCATGGGATGAGACAGCTTGTTCCCAGACACTTTTTGGCTTCTATTCTTCTCCACCCTTTCTATTATATTCCTTGGATTGGTCTCCTATATACTTTTACTATGTTCTCAAAACTTTCTATAGTTTGCCTTGGATAATAATAAAACCTAGCTTTTTCCTTGAGATTACTGTTTACCTCTTAGCTTTCTTCCGTGAAGCATATTTATTCCAGCCCAAACTGGAAAAATCTAAGAGCTTTTATTGGGTATGACATTTGCCCACTTCTCCTTCTGTGGCTTCCAAACATTATTCTTTCACTTTCTCATAGCGTTCCATTAAGGACCAGGCAATGTCAGCTGTCCCTGTTCCTTATATTCACTGTCGCCACCAAGTTCCAAGCCACTCCATTGCATTCATCAGGATCTTTGGCTTACATTTGTACTCTCCATCCCCAATTTACCTTCAACTTGGAAGTGTTCAATGTCCATGTAGGGATCATGTCCAACTCCTAAAAGCTACTTTTCCTTGAGATCTTTGCTCTCCATTCAGCCCACACTAGCTAGCATCACACCTTCATGACTTCTTTTGGCTCTTGTTGTCATCAAAAAATGTTTTACTAAGAAATTGTAAATCTGAAAGGGCTTGCAGAATGCTGATCACCCTCTTCATCCTCTTTAGATTTTAAGCCAATTGGGAAATTAATGGAAAAGCTCTATTTTGAAGGTTTGAAATTTAGTGTCCACTTCACTGCTGACAGATCTAGGTTGGAAAATGTGGCAGGGCCGTGCTGCTAAAGTGGGAGCCTCCTGTTATTTCCCCTTCCAGCATTAAACCTTAGAGCCCACTAGGCGGATGCATGAGCAGGTATACATCCATCATTAGTTTTCTTATCTATTACTTCAGTTTTACTTCTATTAACTTTGCTACCCATTGAAACTCCAGGGCTGCTAAAAGTTACAGCTTGTCTTTATTACCACCCCCCGCCCGACCCCAGGCTTCTAAAGAGCTTGGAGATAACTGGTGCCACAACATATTCACAGTCTTCTTAGTCCAATTTCAACTGCTACCCAGCAGTGCTTCAGTGTCTTAGTATTTAGCAGCCTCCTGTGTTCTCCACAATAATGATGGTAAACTTTTTAGCACTGTCTTCCAACCTCCTCACTCATGACTTTCATCTTCTTTCAATGACGATTTCACAGATAAAATAGGGGCCATAAATGAGCACCATGAAATATTGATTCTTGTCTTCTATCTCTCAAATCTACTGTATTCACAGCCACACTCCCTTTTTATCCTTGTCTCTGTTGAGATAATATTCCTGACCAAGGGGATGGGGTTCCTATCTGTACTCTCACCTCCTTAGACAATTTCCCCATTTGAGTCTTTTATTTCCTGAACCATCATCTTCTCCATCACTTAAAAAAAATCAGCATATAAATATATCTATGTCTGTCCTAATTTAAAAAGAAACAGTGACAAAGATGCATCTGCTGCCTTATTTTTCTCCTCTCATGGTCAGCCTTCTCGGGAAAAAAGTAATTTATGCTTTACATCTTTACTATCTCATTTCCAATTAATTCCTCAACTGAAATTTGGCTTCCACACCACTATTTTATGGAGTTAATTATTGTAAAGATCAGTGAGAGTCCTGATTGCCAAGTCTAATGGACACTCTTATTCCTGATACTATATTCCGCTCTCTTTATAAAGCTGGCACTCCCTTCTCATGGTTCTCTTCCCTCTTCCTCTTGATTCCTTCTCCATCTCCTTTGAGCATTCATCCACTTTTGCCTGCCTCTAAATACTGAAGTCCCACAGAGCTTACTACTGGTTTTCTTCTCTTCTTACTATACTTTCTCCTTGACAGATCACGCCTGTGATAGTTCAACTACCATTCAAAATATTGGTGATTCCCAAATATATACCTCCAGCTCAAGCCTCTTTATGAAACTGGCTACACACTACTGCTACTATTCTCTTTTACTTAAAGCCCTGAACATTACTTTTAAGCCTGAATTACTCCAGTGGCCCCCTAATTGATCTACTTCTGGCCACTCTCAAATTCATCTTTGCCACTGCTGTTAAAGTGACTTTTCTAAAATACAGATATGCCTTTACGTATATCCTCAAAATTATTCAATGGCTCCTCAGAACCTTGAGAATAAAGTTCCGATCATTTAGGTTTGTATTTAGCTTCCCGTCTGATCTCTGAATACTTCTCCAGCTACATCTTTGGTCCCACTGCTTGTTTCAGCCATTCTAGATGATTTGCACTATCCTCAAAGATTGTTCATGCCTTTGACATTTGCATAAGTGATTCCTTTTGTCTAGAATGTCTCACTTTCTCTTCTGTCTTTACCTGCCATCCCCTCTCATTTTTATGGAGACAGCTCAATCACCATGTTTTCCTTAAAATCTTCTGAAAGGGCCTCTGTGAGTCCCTTCCTGGTCTCTCTCCTGACTCCCTTTTGAGTGCTTCTGTTGATACTCTTTGTGTATGTATATCATAGCATTTATG